GCACGAATGCACAGAGCAAGTCTTAATCTAATGCTGAATATGAGTCACTAAGCCCTTCCAGAAAACATGCAACTAGTAGCACTTCATGAGGCTGTAACATTTGCAAAACCCACAGGCTTTTCCTCCCCACGAATTAGCCAAGAAGTGTCTGCATTTCAATGCTGAGTTTAAATCCAGCATGGGGACTCACCTTGCCGGGTGGAGGCTGGGATATACTTACTAGAAAACAAAACTCAAGTTTGAAAAAAAATGCCATAAAAGAAAACATAGAAGAAACAACAAGGTGGACTTTTTCACTCTGAGTAAATAGAGAAGTTCAGCTGAAGGGGTGCAAATGCTGCGTTTTGCCTTTTAAGACTGGCTGGCTTTAGGAAGGCGAAGAGGTTGCCAAACCATTTCGTTGCCAAAACAGTTACTAGAGATCATGTTCTTCATGATGAAGTTAAGGCGCTTAATTGCAACGTGCTGACCAAACACTGCTATGGGAAACTACACCTTGTCTCTATTCAACAGATGATTGCTGCTTTAACGATCATCGGCTGCTGCAATTGTTCTCCCCACCGCAAATCCTTCTTCTTCATCAATAGTTGTGACTTTGACCACCTTGTTGTCCTCCTCTCCTAGAAATGTCTCTGCTTTCTTCGACTACATGCATAAACGCCCTTCCCTGTCTAACCTGTAGTGCTAAAATTCAGCTTTTTCATGGGAGTAACGCCAACTGACTTTAACTAGCTTCAGGAAGGAGACTACCATAGATAGAAAGCATTTAAGCAAAGTGTTTCCTATCTAGTATTTTGGGAAATGTGCAAAATAACCTCTCAAAAGAAATATTAGGTTGGGAATATATTCCTGAATTTATTTGGGATAAAAGTCTATTAGAAATGTTTGGAAAGTGTCAGCATAAATAACAGACAATTTTCATGCTTTTTTTCTCATATTAAAAACTAGTTTCAATTTTCCAGCTAAGGAAAAATAAAATTTTTGGCAAATTTTGTGCTTGAGCATTTCAACATCTACCCTCTTCCTTCTCATTCTTAGTTTCCTATCAGGTAAGAGGAAGAGTGTAAGGATCATTACATGTCAGCCCAATCTACCGCTTGATAACGTAGCCTGCATTGGGCTCCGACTCCTCATTTGACGCTCTCACACTCTCCCACCTAGTTCCTCAGGGGAAGTACAAAGCTATGTATCCAAATATACCAAACAAATGTATCCAAGAAGGAGACTCTGCCTTTAAAACAACTATTGAACTTGATCGCTGATGAATCTTTACTCACTTCCTGAGAGATGTGTCTTCAGCATTAACCAATACTTACGGCTTTTTGCCATCTGGCCCTTACTTTGCTTGTCTTCTCTTTGTAAACTGTGAATACAGCTGCCTGGAAACACCTCAGTGCTGCTATCATGTAAGAAAGCAAAGCTGTGACGTGTTTCTTTTGTTTTAACGCATATTTTTCTTATCCAACACAAAACCTCACAAACAGATGGTGCTATTTTTGAGAAGCTGAGTATTAGAACATAACAGAGGGCCATAGGAAGTGCTGGGCCACCTTAGCTTGGCCTCTGCTTTCCAAAATAAGATGTCCCACTAAACTCTCAGACATAGTTCCTGCCCTGCAAGTGCTGGCAGAGGTGTCAGCCTGAAAAGCTTTCCTGAGCACGACTTGAGGCAGGCCCTGAACACTGCTGCCATGCGAGGCTGGCACGCGCCATCCCAACACTGACAAGACTTGGAACCAAGGCAACCGGAAGGAAAAGGTGGATCCAGTCACCACACTGGGCACTTCTGTGGTCACTGCAGGGTACGTGCAGACTGCCTGTGGCCTGAAGACCATCTTTACTGGGTGTGAGGCAAGCAGCATGTCTTCTGGACTGAGACGTGTCAAAGAAGGCAACCTTTAGCACTTGGTGCAGAGCCGCAAGCTGGGGAGGACAAAGACAGAACCTGCCGGGCGATTCCAGTTGCATGTTGTCCTTGAGCAGTATCCATCTTGTAATATGTTTTAAGTGCAACCCTTCAGCTCAAGAATCAAAGGCTAAAGATTCCATGTTAATTAGTAATCTCTGGAGTCATACAGATCTGTAATAACTACCTACAGATCAAAGACATTTCATGTTTAGCGTATTTTAATATCAAGATACCCTTCAGTTCAAGAATCAAAAAGGCTAAAGATTCCATGTTAATTAGTAATCTCTGGAGTCATACAGATCTGTAATAACTACCTACAGATCAAAGACATTTCATGTTTAGCGTATTTTAATATCAAGATAGAATTAACATTGTAATTTCTGTAATTAAAGTCTTGAAATTAGTATTTGGAAGAGGCCAGTTTATTCTTCTATTTATCTGATTGAATGCAGCCAATTTTTGAATGATGTTTCACATCCAGGTCTACAATCAAGGTTTTGGTACCAGCTAGCCAGGATACGAAAGCTGCTGTATGATTTGTTGGATTATCCCAGCTGGATGAACGGGACTCAGAAGGCCCACTGCGTATGATCATTCCCATATATAGGCGCTGAAGAAAATGACGTAAAAAGAAGAAAACTACAAATGTTGGCATACCAACCTTATCTTCAGTCATTGCTGGCATTGCTTCTTGTTGTTAAGTAAGTTACTATTTTGATTGTGCTAAAACCTTATCTAGAGAAGTAAAAATAGTGAAAATATTCCTTAAAATGTTTCCATTTGCAAGTCTCAGTCCTTGAACCAAAGTAACCACATACTTGAAGATCCGTTTGTCCTTGATTTCTTTTCTGAAGCTTCCAACCTTCCCTGAAACCGTGAGTTAGGAATGTTAAAAATAAAAAAGCAGTTTGAATTTATCTATTTATATCACATTTATATCCATTTATATTACAGCAACCAACGCAAATTCTTCAAATTTTAGACTTGATAATTGAGACATCATTGTAATAATGATTTATTATACCGCTCCCAGAGTTACCTCTCTAACATACTGCTATGGCTTTCGGTGTTATCGAAGGCTGGGCTGAAGCATCTCTCTCAGAAACTCCAAAGCTTATTTTCTTGTATAAAACTTTGAACGCTGGGCAGAGGGGATTACAAAAGACAGTAGAGTGGCTAAAGCAGTTTATATTATCAGTTATTTGGAAAAAAATTGTCTTGATTAACCTCTAAATGCTTTATTTGTTACAGTGGTAGTTAGGTATTATGATGCCAAGATATGGTCTAAACAGAGCTATGCATTATCACAGCATTGTGCCAACTCTTCTCTGCCACATTTGTTTTGAGTAATGGTTTTAATGTAAACCAGACCCAAGATATTTCCGGCTAGGTTTCCTCACATCTCTCTTTTATCTTTGTCTAGCATCTCCAATTGCATGAACAATCTTCCCTGAGGTTGTTGTCACTGGTGTCCTTTATAAATTTCCAATTTGCATTATATGCGCTGCCTGTAATAACTCCTAACTATATAATAATCCTTTGGATTATAAAAGGCAGTGTTCTACATTATTTCTCAGAGATGAATTAACTCTCCTCTCTCTTCCTTCTTCTGTGGTTTACAATATTGGTACAGTAAATACAGGCATTCATGAATTTAATTTGGTACCATCCTGCTGCTAACAGAGAGATCATAAATCATAGAATCATAGAATATTTTGGGTTGGAAGAGACTTTTAAAGGTCATCTAGTCCAACCCCCCTGCAATGAGCAGGGACATCTTCAACTAGATCAGGTTGCTCAGAGCCCCGTCCAACCTGGCCTTGAATGTTTCCAGGCATGGGGCATCTACACCTCTCTGGGCAACCTGTTCCAGTGTTTCACCACCCTCACTGTAAAAAATTTCTTCCTTATACCTAGTCTAAATCTACCCTTTTTTACTTTAAAACCATTCCCCCTTGTCCTGTTGCAACAGGCTCTGCTAAAAAGTCTGTCCCCATCTTTCTTACAAGCCCCCTTTAAGTACTGAAAGGCTGCAGGAAGGTCTTCCCGGAGCCTTCTCTTCTCCAGGCTGAACAACCCCAACTCTCTCAGCCTTTCCTCACAGGAGAGGCGTTCCATGCCCCTGATCATTTTCGTGGCCCTCCTCTGGACCCGATCCAACAGGTCCCTGGCTTTCCTGTGCTGAGGGCTCCAGAGCTGGACACAGTACTCCAGGTGGGGTCTCACCAGAGCAGAGCAGAGGGGCAGAATCACCTCCCTTGGCCCGCTGGCCACCCTTCTTTTGACGTGGACATGTAGTCCAGAACAAAGAGATACGATCAGCAAGTTGTGTCGCTATTTTTCTGAAAGATCAGCCCCTGGAGTGCCTTTGAAGACGCTGTACATCCACCTGCCTTCAACCTTTGCAATGGTCTGTGCAGGGAGTATTCAGGCTGTTGCACAGCAAACAGAGTTTGGTTTTAAAACCAGCCTCAGGGATGCCCTCTGCGGTTATCATAGAACTACAGCTCTAGTCCACCGTGGCAGTCGGGACTTAAACTCAGTTTCTGTGTCCTCCCTGACTAAGTCTTCAAAAAATACTATAGACAAATGTTCTGGCTTCATGAATGGAGTTGATGGGATAGCATTTTACCCATGAACTCCAAGAGCAAGGTGTTGTAGGGCACTGCTATGGTTTTAATCCCAGATGAAATGTGAAATTACCAAAATACATAATCTGGTAAGGGCTGAATAGTCCCAGTATCAAAAAGAGAATCTCATGAAAAATATAGGAATGCTCTATCAAATTCCACACAGTGCAGCAAAAGGGCTGTTTGCAACTGCTATGCAATTTAGATGGAAAAAAAAAGTATTCTCCAGCTTTGGCTAATCCAATTGTAAAACCCCCAAATGCTGCTTCCATTTTGTCCCTTGGGAGATGAGTGAGAGAGAGCTCACTCTCTCGTTTCAGTTCACTCGTGATACTGTACGTGAGGGAAGGCCCTAGATTCCATATACTATTTTCCCTTCCTTCCTGTCCTCTTCCCCCACCCCAAATACCCTTTTAAACCACTATTTTTTTGGTTCAAACAACAAGGCTAAACAGGTGAAATTTTAAATAATGATTGAGGATTTTTTTTATTCATTTAAGTTTCAATATCATTACAGAAAATGTTATGGTACAGAGTTGTTTAACATTAGTTTTATTTCTTCGCTCGTTTAATTTCCACACGAATGCTGGTAACACTAATATCTGTACAAGATCAGTCTTTGATTTTTTTTAATTTTTAGTTCTGTACATTTTTAAATGTATTGGTTAAAAAGGCTGTCAGCACTTAAGGAAGCAATTTTTTTGTTTGTGGAAATAAAAGGTATCCAGTTACTGCCCAAGAGTACTGAGCTGGGTGGCTGCCGGGACAAGAGAGATCCCTGAATGCGCAGCGAGGTGAGAAAACCTCGGGGCTTCATTGGGTTCCCAGTGCAGCCACTCTGCTTTTGGCACTGTGCACATCAACACGAGATACAAGATAAAGAACAAGCAGAAGCTCTCTGTGAAGCGGTTATGAAGCATACTAATAAGGGAAATCCAAGTGTTGTCTACGCTAGTATAAATAAGCAGACAGCCTTGTTTTAAGAGCATAAGTAGTTGTATCTTAAAGATGAGAAAAAACACAAGTTCTGCAGGCACCTACTGCTGTCTACTAAAAGCTACTGCTATTGGAACTAGCATTGAACACACAAAGCAATTGCAAGGAAAGGAAAAAGTTGCTTTGATATAATCAGAATAAATTTCTTTGTTAAGATTTGTTTTAAAGTTTTTTTTAAAAGGTATTTATTTAAATTCCATTTGAAATATAATTCAAGATGTTGACTATACTGATCAACCTTTATCCAAATCAGAAAAACTAGCTGTGCCGTTGCATATTACAGGATACAGTCAATGATATGTGGACATGCATCAAAGCTTCGCTCTTGCTGGTGACATCATAGCCTTCCAATGACCATGACATCCACCACCTCCCCCTTGTGAAGCTCCACATACTGCTCTGTCTTTGGAGGTAGCATCAACAGTCCATTGGCACTGCGCATACTCATCAGACGACTGCTCATCTGATTCCCTACAGGAGAGCGAGAGAAAAATTTCAGTTAAGTTTTCAGTTAGTTTCAAATGCTGCAACACACCACGCGGGAAACAAGAGCTGTTCTTACGAAGAGGTTCATGTTGCTAACTTATTCGTAGAGCTGGGATCTCGCTGTTCTAAGGTGGATGGAAACAGAGAACTCTGTAGAGAATCAGTCAGCCTCTCATCGCTCTGGCTCTCAAAACTCTCATTCCCTTTGCTGATCGCTTTCCTATCCAGCCTTCCACATTATCTGTACCTCATATCTTGTCATAGTAAATTGCTTTTCTGTTGGAATTTCTAATTCTATCAAAATTACTTATTTTTCAATTTGTATACCTAATTGCGATTGTATAAAGACTAAAACCAGCACAGTCTGGAATGTTTTTAGTATACTGTTATAGAGTAAGTTTGATTAACTGTATTCTTCTCTCTGAATAGTCTTGTTTAGCATTAGTAGCTTAGCACTAGTAGCTAAAGTAGTTGAAGCCTTAGGTCACAAGAACTGACGGAGAGTAAACTTTTTGATAAAACTAATGCTGCTAACACAGAACTAGCTGAATCCAGCAGATGCGAGCAGAATGAAGAAGATGACGACCAAGGAAACAATTCCAAGAGAATGAAGTAACTTCAGAAGGCGGCCAGCCCAGCGACTAAGAAAACCAGTAAGAAGTCAAGAGACCACCGACCAGAATTAAGTGATTGGACTTGGGGACCGCTGGGTGGTACGGGTATAATTGGAGGGCGCGACCTGGGGTAGGGATCCCTCTCCAGAGGCACCCAGCTCGAGCTGTAACCTCAGAACTGATAAAAGAGTAATTGGAAACCTTCACTCGGACTTTTCATTTTTCAGCGGGATCCTGGCGTTGGGCCCTGTTACAGTGGCCGGCTGCGTAAATCCATAACATATACCACCTCAAAAGAATGGGTTTCCTTGGGACACTGAGCTTCACAACATGTCCTGAAGATAAACAGTATCATATTGGTAGTACTGACAAAAAATGAAAATGCAATAAAAAGTCATGCCCTTTAGTTTCTCGGTTTTCAAACTTCCAGATTGACAGAGAAATCATTCCAGACAGTGTGCTTGCGTAAGGAAAGAAGTGGTGCACAACAAGACAGAGTTAAACCAAAGACAGCATTATAGATGGAAGTAATACCTTGAATTATACCTGGAAGTATGTCAGAGGCTGTGTGATCTTGGGAGTCGATGGTAAGAAGTTTCTCTGAGTAAACAGTAAGATGCATTTGAGCTAATGTCTTTCCTGTGGAGACCTGTATATAGTGCTTTGTATTGAACAATTTGGATGTAGCAAAAACACAATTAGTTGTTTAAGGACCTGAATCTCTTGAGAAACTGGCAGAGTCGGTCTTCTAGCAGTATAGAGCTAAAAATGTATTCAAATATAGTATTTACCTCAACTGCAGCTGAGTATCCAGAAGTATCCCTAGGTGGCAAACATGACTCATAAATAAGTCTTAGTCTGCTTTAAGAGAACATATACAGCCTCTGCTACCTCTTCTACTTTTCCAGTTCAGCTAGAATCATGCTTCTTTTATCTGTATTGTTCCTACCTATGGCCCAACTTGTGTTTGTTTAGTACATTCGTAAGAGCAAAAGTAAGCAAATGTGCCTGTGAGTGCAAGTAAGCATGGGTGGATGTTTATAAAAAGGAATGTGTGCTCATATGCAAGCATAAAGGTGTATTGTGTGTGTGTGTGTCTATAAAAGCAGGTTATTCAGATAAAGGAAGTTTTAATGGTTAAGTTGGTAAGTCATATCATGACTGAGTTTTATACTAACATACATGTATGCATGTGCACAAGTATGTCAGCAAATCAGTCTGCATAAGGAACGTTATATGAAAAAACATGTGCACATGCTTTGTTGTTTTTAGACATAGACGTAGGAAAGCAAGGACCTGTGTGAGCGTGTCTGTCAGTCTGTGTGACTGGGCACTAACCTGTACTCTGCGCCCAAGGTAGTGGTTCTTGGTGATGCCAAGTCAGTATGCACCGATGATATTCTGGGCGGGGGTCCAATTTTACATCACATGATAACTGTAGAAGAAGCAAAGAAAGGATGAAAATGTCACGCATTCAGATTGCACTAAGATAATGGAATCATCTGCTCAATTGTTTTTCCTTAAAAACAGTCTTTTTAAAAACTTGCATTTTGAGGTCAGATGGTGTCTAGTGCAAGATCAAAAGCTGTAGAAGGTAGAGACTGCAGTATTTAAGGGAAATACAACTGCGATATTATAGTATCAAAGTGTATGAAGGAGTCTACATGCATTATGTGGAATATTCCAAAACTGTTCCTTTACTGGGAGTTTAAAGACAGTATTTCTCTGGAAAAAAGCTTTATCGTTTCTGGTCTCTGGATTACACTGCATAAAGATAAAAATTTTATTCGCATTCAAAATCCTGCTAGCTCTGACAAAAGGGAAATGGCCAATCTTTGAAATTAAAAGACATACAAGGGATGGCTCACAATGGAATTTAATGGAACACATTGGAAAATTCATGCAAAAGTGGGGGTTACTACAAATTGCTCTCTGTTTTAGAGTATTTTAGCTGTGAGATAAAGAAAAATCTGAATGCCTGAGGAAGTGCGAGAGAGAGACATGGGATAAGCAGTAAGGGAAAAGTGCACAGCCAAGAACACTAGGAAAACTATAAAAGGTAATGTGTTCCTTGGTACTTTACTTGAATCAAAAATAGAAGAATAATACATTATAATAACATGCCTTGAATCTATGTTAAACAGAGTTACAATATCCATAATTTCTTTTAAGAATGAAATGAATAGTTTAAGGGATTTATATTGCTTAGGGTGAGGGTCATGTGGGTTACTTATATAAATAACTCAAGAACAGAAAGGCTTTAAAGTTTGTATTTTCTATTGCTAATACAGAACTATCCTACTCTTTAGGTATTCCCAGATTACTCTGCATTTTTACCAAGGTTAAAACAAATGTTTTTTTTAAATAGAAAAGCGTCCTTCCTGCCTGATTGGCAAATGGCTGCCTCTGCATCTGTGTATCTTGCTCCATTAGATGGCCATCTAACTCTTAGAAATTATGGGACTGAATATTACCGTTAACAGAGATTGAGAATATACCTCTGTTTTGTGTGAACTTCCTTCAACTTGCTGGAATTAGTCTAGGGCTCAGATCCCCGAAACAAGACAGCCTTTCAGAGCCCAAAGAGCTGTGCTTCAACATCTTGAGAGAATTTTTAAACAGAGGACGAGCTTCTTACCCTGGCTTTGATGATGGTGGGCCGAGGATCCAGGATACCCTGCATTTTCCTCAGTGCAGGAACAACAAAGAGATTGCAGGTGACAACAGCTGACACAGGGTTGCCTGTAGGACAAAGAACAGTTGGTGGTGACTCCCTCTCGATTTACTCTATGAAATGCTGAAAGTGATCTCATGTTTTTATAGCAATTGCACTCTAAAGCAATTGCTCTAAAGAGCTTTTCATGCTATGTACAGGAAACGTTTCATTCAAGACTGGAGTGGCATGTGGCGAGTTGAAAGCTACACTCTCTGGCTGATGGTGTGCTGAAATCCTGCTCTGACCAGAACTGCCCCATGTTCCTCAGGCCCCACCATCTGCCTCTGTTCCTCCGTTGCCTTTTGTCTTACGCCTAGATTTGTCTGGGGCTGTGGCAGGGCTAGGTATTTATTGTGCTAGGTATAGGTCCTAGCTGATAGGGCTCTTGATTCATGATTAAGGTTTCCAAGACCTATGGAAAAATAACTTTCAATTCCCTAACAGAGTGGCAAAATGCTTTAGTACAAATTCTGAGGAGAATTCTACTGATTTATATGTTTTCTGTTGACTCACAAGAGAGGTGTATGACCAACGTCTGTCAAACACCACTTGTCTTACACATCTGGACTTCCCTAGATGACAGTTCTAAAATAAATACTACGATCAGACAGATGCTCCATTGATCTCTCCCCCGGAATAAAATGTACTGCAGCAACTAAAACAAGAGAGAGAAAAAGCACTAGAGAGACATCTGAAAACCACCAGCTTACCAAGAACAGGATTCCTTGTGTAGTCAGAAATCCATGCAAAGCTAGAGCAGTAAGAATAAAATAAATTCCTCCTGATTTAGGAGGATAGAGATTTGTAGCCAGATCCCTAAGGAAATGTTTATTCTGAAACACAGCGATTTCCCAAGGCGACGCAGAGGCAGCAGGTGAAGCCATGCTGCCCTCTTTTGGTTCCACGGTACGATCATGATAAAAAAAAAATCCTGTGACATGTTCCTTGGCACTCCCTTGTTTTTGCTTCCATTTTCAATACTTCAGAGTGGATGCACTGACTTACATGCACAGAATATTTACTGTGCAGGTGGAGGGAGCTGTAGGAAAAAACCAGCCCTGTATAGTACCACTTACAAAACCCACGAAAATTGTTGTATGGAAGAAATCATAAGGCCTGTACACTGGCCTGTACACTGAGGACAGGAACAAGAAAGAACCCCTTAGTATACCCCTGTAAGTCTGTCTCTTCTGGAAATTTCTGGGAAAACCTTACAGGTACCTTCTTTAGGGATGCCAACACCAGATATAGGTGCTGTGAAACGTCACTATTCTGTTTCATGTCTGTCATCTATGCACAGCAACAAAAGTAACTCACAAAACATCTTACCTGGGAGTGCAAAGATTATTTTTCTTACGCCATCAATATCCAGAGTTGCAAAAGTTGTTGGCAGGCTATGGAAAAGGAAAGCTATTTAATATCTGCACTAGACTTTGACTGAATGTTATTATGTTATTATTTAAAACATTTGTAAAACAAAACAAAATGGGATCTCTCTCTCTCAGCAGTTCATTAGCACCTGCTGCTTATTCCATACTGGGGGTATAATCCTCTCTTTGTGATGACAGAGCAATTAGTTTTTCTTGGTATTCAGCTATGAAGTTTTAAGTAGATGATTTTGCTTCTGGTGAGGAAACATCTAAGAGCAGATGAACTAGGAATCAAAAATCTAAATCCTGTCTTCATGCTAGAAGCCAATTAACAAAGAAGTAATACTGAAATTATGCAGTTACAGAGCTGTATTTGTTTTTCATATAAGGCTCTCCAAATTTTTGGTAACATTAGTGATTCTAATTTCCCTTACTCCATTGTCTACAGCAGTAGTGACAACGGAGCAGTATTTCAGAGCTGCAAATGCTACTTAGTCTGCAGATGAACAAATTCAGATACACGGGCAGAGCTGCAGTCAGGTAAGACCTAGGTCTATCAGTAAAGAGCGCTCTCTGCCTTTCAGAGCTGCTCCTGAGTGACCTTCAGTGACTTGTTATCAGGGCTATTACAGTTATACAAATAGTAATGTGATGGCTCAGGAATGTGGCCAGCAAAGAAAAGGGACTCATCCATTAAAAAAAGTTTTCTATGTACCTATGTTAATATAATCCTTTTAAACATTAGAAATGATACTTTATAGGAGAATAATTAGGCTGAGTTCCTTGGTTTCATCTTGAGCTAACACCTGGTCAGCAGATGATAGTTGCTAACCAGCAGTCACTTTGGAGGTTTGCCACACTTTGATCATTACTACCTAGTTTTGTATCTGCTAGGACTAATCAATATCCTGTTTTACCAGGGGAAATTGGTGTTTGAAAGTTCTGTTTTAAAAGGTCTCTAACATAATGGGAACTATGTGCCAGACCTCCAAATCTTATCACCAGTGCACAAACTGAGGTACAAAAAATCTGATTGCTAATTCATATTTACTGGAAACTTTGAATTCTCATCTGAGATTTCAACACCATCATTGGTAAACTCTGTGAGTACTTTCTTCTGGCAGTGCTGCTAGACAAGATACAACCTTACATTAGCTCAGCAACTTTCAGATCAAGTAGAAGAATGGTAAATCCCAGGCATCACTCTGCAGTCAAGTAGCTCATCAAAATACAGGCATACAAAGCAAATTCTGGCTTTGCTCTTGGAACTTACTCAAGAGAATTTTTCCTGATATAGTAATCACAATTCATATCTAAGGCCTTTTAAGACAGAATTAATAAAAACTAAGACACAGTATTTGCTATTGCACTACAGACAATGAAAATGAAGAGTGCTTACATTCTCAGTAAGAGTAGACGACCAAATGCTTTAGTAGCAGTAAGAAATATCTTTCTTATGGCATAAAATGAAAATGGATGTTTGGGGAAAATAAGATTTCATAAAGCTTTTCTGGCTATTAAAACTTTTCTGGTTATTAAAAGTTTATTGCTACAGGTCTACAGAGGGATCACCAGAAGAAAGAATTATGTTCACTTTCAGACAAGCCAGAACCAGAACTTAATATTCTGAATTCTCTAAATCAGGTTATCCATTCTTGTCAGCAGCAGAGGCTGGAGTGCAGATCCTACTTTTGGGACTTCCCGACATCAGTTGTAGCAGTATGACAGAAGCAGTGAGCAATTTCCACGCCTGGGCTACATCCAGCATGGGAAGAAACATGCTTTCAGCTCACTTGTTCCTTTTATGGAAGGGAGGTGGTGGTAGTAGCAGCACAAGCACCAAACCCATGTGCAGTTCTTTACTGGATTGTATGCAGAGACAGTAAAAGTATTTGTCTGTTTTCACAGCAAACACCCACTTTCTGTTCTGCTCCTCTCAACAGTTACGGGCTAGAGGGAATCATTCCTCAAAGCTGTACTTGGCCTTGTGTTACTGGACCGTGCCAACCGAGCTTGCAAACAAACTGCACTCTGTGATTAGTGAGGCAGAGCGGCAGACATCTTTCCGTTGCTGTACTGTGAAAGGGAACTCTCTATTTTCAGTACATGTAGTTTTCATTTTCTCTGCAAAGCACACTTCCAGACTCATTAATTAGCAGTGCTACAGAAAAGGAAAGCAATGCTGAAACAGTGTTCTGAAGCAAACTAAACAAATAAAGGATTGTGTTTACTTTAAAATTACTATGCTCAATATGCCAATTAGATAAAACTTTGTAAATTAGCTGTCATTCTACCTCTCTCAAGAAATTGCTTGTTTGTAGGAATATGACTTATGCAAATACTGAAGTGAAAAATGACATGCTCGTTAAGCAAACCCGCAGTTAAATGTCCTTATATTTCCCGGTTATTTCGAAAAAATGTCAGTATCTGAGCTCTGTGATCACAGTGAAGACTGTGGCCATGTTTATACCATGCTGGTTTCCCTCCAATCCCCAAACCTGATTTGCAACAGTTATCAGAGAAATATCTCTTACCGATAAAAAGTAATCTCTCTGCTCCAGTTAATTTCACCCATAAAGATGATGACTAATCTGAATAGGACCGATTTTGCCTCTTTTCTCATATATATCTACCATATGGTTTATAGTATATTTGGAAAACTGAAATCTACTGAAGCTCTTATATAGGATATTTGGCCCAATAAAGCCTCCATCTATGCTGCCTAAGTAGAAATATTTCTTACCCCGGTTTCATAAAAACTCTGCCAAAGTGAATCTGTGCGTGAAGATCAATATCCAGCACCTGTTTAAGATAGTCCTGTTTAAATTCAAAAAAGAAAATCGATTAAGTAACATCAAAGTGGCTTACATCATCTAAGCATTCAAAGCAATTAATTAATATCAAGTGAAGATGAAAGACTTTTCATATCCCGAAAGGGCTACAGTCCAATGGGGAATTGCCAGTATTTGAAAGAAAGTATTTTCAAAAAGAAGAGGTGAAGAACAGACTCATTTTAGGTGCCAAACCTGACTCCACGAGGACATAGTAATATATTTACTTTAAAGTCAGCTGCAGCATCAGAATCTTAGAGGACCCCACAAATACCTACTACTAAAACATGCCCTATGTCAAAGATGGAAAAAAGCCTTTATGGTTCAAAGTTAAGACTTAAAATCATCAAGTTATTTAACTTTTGTCATGGAAGCTATCTAGCAGTAGAGTTAGAGATCTCCTACTACTTCTGAAATCAATACTGTACTGTAGAAATCATAGTTTTCCAGGATACTGTAATTATTGTAATTTCTTGGGGACATGGTCTAATTTACAGTGGTCGGGTTTAACAGTCCTTAGAAAGGAAAAACTGTGGGTGGCTTGTGCATTAGTTCAAGTTAAATGATTTTGCACAAACACAATTGATTCAGTTATTAAAACAAATTGAATTACTTGTTTAGTCTTTATTGAAAATTGCTGTGCTCAGAGATGTAGTATCCTGTCTGTTGTGTTTAGGGAGATTAAAGACAGAGGACATAACAGTCATCTGTGAAGAGAGACTTTGGAAGCAGTAAATCTGAAGCTCCCTTGCAGTTTTCCCATCGTTTTCTTTTTTTTTTTTTTTTTTGTGTGTGTGTTCAAATACAACTTTTTTCAGCCAGGCTTGAATTCTCAATTATTGATTTCATTAACCCCATTTTTAACTTCTATTTACTTTTTGGATGTTCACAATTATTTCATTAAAACTGTTGAAAGCTCAGTATCAGAGGGCTAACCATCAGTGGAATATAGAGCCTACTGACTTTACGCTGTTGCCTCAAATTCAGACTGGGGAGAAATTAGCCAGAAGGCATAAATGCCTGTAAGACCATTCAGCAGTCCAGTCACTTCCTAGTGTTCCTGTGTCTGCACTATGTCGCCACGTTCCCAATTTAAAGACCAGCACTTGTCCTTGATTATGTTTCTAGAAATACTGAGGACAATAATAGGATTGAAAGTAATTGGCACTGGTTTAACTAGTTATCCATTTTCATGATGTATCCGACAATATGATTTCTACTCAGAAAAGTGACAAAAACAGCACTCATGTTTGCCATCTCCTAATGACTGTCTTTAGTATCTGTTAGTTATAAAAGGAGAGATGTTTCTTTTACCTGCCAAACTCACAGATTCAGCCTGGGATCAAAAAGTAATCTGAGTTTTCCTTCGCATAAGTCATGATTAATAAATGTCCTGCAGGTTCATCTACGCCCCACCAGCATCTGTGTATCCCTATTTTCTTTGATGGTTTTGGCACAGGGATTACCAACAGGAACTCAATCAACAATTCTGTTAATGATTCAAAAGGCAAATATATCAGCTCACTGTGTCTCGTATGTATTGCCTCTGTAGGACTATCAGGCGCAAAATGTGATAAAACTATTTTTGTAACAGATACAGCTTTGGCATGTTCAGGAAACAGATCTGCTGAGTAAGAGCGAGCTATTGATATACTCAGGTTGCTTTTCGAAGTACTTTCAAAGTAGCTTTATTCTATCTACATTTTACCTGCTCTAAGAATAAAAAGAAGTCTGTTGCCTTCATGTGCTATTAACCAAGCACCTTCCTCATCATAACTACAAAAATAATTCCTTAAATAAAAACACATTTGCAAATCACTCACATCAAGAATTAAAATCTTCCCTGTTGTACTATGTCTACTATAGTACAGTAATAAGAACAAAGGGAATGAGGATAGCATTGAAGACTATTTTCTTAATTAATTCACATTTAAGTGTTCCAAAAAAAGTAAGATCCCTTTTTAATAAACATTAATACAAAGGTAAAAGCTCTGATGACAGACTCTGGCTTGAAATTCTGACATATTGTAGCAAGTCATATTTAAATTTAGCATACCTTTTCCCCCATAGATACACCTCCTGATGTAATGATCACATCAGCACGGCTGATACCCTCATTCAGTGCATTCAGTAAATCATCTGGGCTACAGAAAAGAACAGGCAAGCAGATTAGCGGCATGGAACTATTACGAGTTGTAGTGTAAGTGTCTGTGTGCACACATACAGATGTATATTCACACATAGATTTTAAGAAAGAGATACAGCTCTAGGATAATATAAGATCTTTTCCTTCTTAAGACTCCACACCACCCTATTCAAGTCAAGAACTGCAATCTCATTCAGTGAACATCACACGGTTTGGCACCTTTCTGTCTGAGAGCTTTGCAACAGGAACAGTGGGATACTTTAGGTTGGGACTGAAGAACACTAATACAAGTGTCTAAAAGTATGTAATTTGCACAGTAGGTAGCAATACAAATTATGATTTAGATGAACTGACAGGGCTATATAAAGGGACCTGACACACGAAAATTACTGGCCACCAAGAATGCTGCAGTACTACCTGTCTAGCTTATTTGAAGTGTGCAAAAATGGGGATAAGGCTCCACTTCAAACTTCCATCAGTGAAAAGTGGGAGTAAATCCTTTGTTTATCTTCTCCATTAGAGGGCTCTGCAGCAAAGCCAGCTGTACATCCACTTCATCTTGAAAAAAACCAATCCATCCTGTTCAAGTGTCTATTTACCTTCACAAGAAACAGTGTAAGGGGAGCTGTGATGTTCCTCCATACAAAGAGTATAACTGCGAAGGTGAAGGCTAGAAGCTGAGTATATTTCAGTTTTGGTGTCTTAACTCTTTTTCTTTTTGTAAACTGGAAACTTTGAAGGGGGCATTAGCTATCTAACAGCAGTACTGATGCTAACACAGAGCTTCAAGGCATGCAGTGGAGAAACTCAGTAATACAACTTACACAAGACCAAAGGAATCCAAAAGAATTTCCAATATATTAAATGCAGACTTTGCATTTAACATTTGTGAACTGACCAGAAGCTGACTGATTGCTACGACTGTATGTAATGTTCCTTCAACAGTATGTTTTTACTTTAATGATACTGAAAGTTTTTAATGGGAGGCTGTTCCTCCTTAGAATGCAATTGAACGAATGGGCAATAATGCTAGTGACTGTATAAAGGACTTCACCTGGAATACAGCACCTCAGTTAAATGCCACACTACAATTACAAGATGCCATTATGGGTTATCAAGGCTTTGCAGGCTGCAAATGGCATGTGGGCTATCCTCGGGAACTTTGGCTATATTTCACTGAAAGATAAAATCACTGCAGTTATTTTGGCGTTCGAACTGGAAGCAGGAAAATCAGAAATACTGTGCAAGTCCTGGTTGACCTTTCAGAGACTAACAGAAACTGTGTTTCAAAAGGTCTCAGAAACAAAAATCCTTTTCTCTGAGCATCCTGTCTTCGCCCATGGTTTAGTGAAATACAAGCAGCAGTTAGCATTATGTGCTGCTGTGTGCACTACAATTTATGTGACACAAGAAGGACTGCGCTCCCTCACTGAGCAGATATCTCAAGTGCATGCAACTCTGCACACTCCTCACCTCCTCATCAGAGAGCCCTCAAGTCTCCTCTACCCCGGTTATGCCTTACAGGCAGAAAGACTCAAGACCCTTTCTCCACCGTGTCCAGTGACTGATGCAGCATCTTCTTTGGCATCACAGTGTTGTTTTCCTGCAAAACTTTTCCACTTGTGCTGGGTTACATCCACTCTTTAGGATCATATTGCTTTGTAAGAGGTAGGCAACAAACTACAGCAGAAAGAAGGGCACATTGCTGGTGCCATAGTGTAGGCTGTGATCAATCAGATAGAATTATACACTACCATTTTTTTAAAGGAAACAGTGGCTGCAGATATTGTTGCATGCCTCCATGACTTTTCTTTGGGGTACTGGGTATCTTGGATACGCTAAATGGCCTATAATGAATGGCTAAACGCCGTTTTCTTTGGGAGAAAATGTAAAACATACAGACTCAAGCAAAACCATCTCCTCCTTTGTTCTTTAGGAAACAGAGACATTTTCTCAGCTGCTCCTTCTGAAATCTCAGGATCATTTTATCCAGCACAAGTCTTCACTAGTTGTTGAAGGCAAGAGGAAAGAAGTAAGTTTGTTCTTGGCTACTGCCAGTGCCTTCTTCAGAACCAACTGTTTCATATTGATTGTCTAACTAATAATCTGTATGCAATAAGATATCGCTTAAGATTATTATAGAGTTTGTAACAGGAAAAGTCTCTCAAGATCTAAATATTCCTTAATCCTTGCCAATGAGGGTGCAGATTGGAATGCAGCAAGGAATACATATTCATTACACAGGTCGATATAGGCCTTCCTGAAGCTCGATGACAGGCAGACTCATGCCACTGTTACTAACCCAAGACTGCTTTCAATGTATTTTTCTCATTAGGTTGTGATGCAGCTGTGGACCTTATCTGGAGCTTGCTCCAGGCTGTTTCATTTTATCTTGCTTAATTTTTAAAAGTTATTCATAGGTAGCAAGACCACCTGTCTGGGGACATCCTAATTCTGGATTATGAAGTGTGCTTGCTTTTGGTTGTGGTTTGAGAATAATGGAAGGAACAGTAAAAAGCAAACGAGTCTATATTTAACTGTTGTTAAAGGTAAATAGAATGGAAGTGCTCCTACTTACATACCGAATATATAGATAGTTGCAAAATGCATTGAATTCTTCCAAAATGAAAGATGTAATAGAAATTTTATTGTAATAACCTGAATGCTGATTATGCTAGTTTGGTTTTTATTCTGAAGAAAGAAGACATTTACAGAATTTCCTCCCTTGCCTTTGCAGAAGGCTTCTCTCTTTTTGCCACATTTGGCACACTTCTTTTTGTCACTCAGGTCCGTCTAACTTTCCATCTACTTGAGGCTGGTAGTTCCATGATTCTGCAATTAACACAAAACACTCCTTACAGAAGTCACCTGCTGTAATCTTCAATCAACACCGTAGCAAACATTTTCCTTGCCTTTAGTGGATTTAATGCAGAGAGTCATCATTCAAATTGCATATTAACACATACTCGATATAATCAGATAACAAGATACTACTTCTTGTTTCATTTGTTGTATAACAATGAGCAGCTTCTCCTTTGGATTGACATGGAAAGGGAATAAATAATTGAAGACTATTAACTTCTGAAAGAATAGACAAAATAACTTTGGCATCTGAGCATAAAAGGACAAGATTGTTCTAAAAGGCCTGTGACAAATCACCATGAAGCTGAGAAATAACACTCACTGCCTGAGCAGGTACAAATCAGAAGCTACATTCTGAAGCCCTGGCCATTGCTAGGGGCAGGATACTGGGTTAGCTAGACTAATGGTCTAATTTACTATGATAAATCCTTCAAAATGTCTGGTGAAAGTGCTATTCTGGGATCTTTTTCCTTCATGGACAGAACTGTAACAGGCGCTCAAATATAATGGTGAATACCTTAATCAATGTAAAGTAGATTTTGATGGGAAGTCTCGTTTCCAGATGGTAAAACTATTCTGTTTCATTTGGTGATTTTCAAAGTCAGAGTGACATTGCGCACAAGAAGGCAGTGTGCTTTTCTAACATGCTGCAATTGATTAAAAAAATTATACTCTCTGTATGTTTCAGATCACATCCCAGCATCTCCTGTAAATACAACTAAGAAAATTTGTTCTATAAGGATTACATACAGTTTATGAAACTATTCATATAGGTAAGTAAGCACAAATCCAAACTTTCTCTCAGCAGTAGAAATCCCCATCTACAGCAGATCGTATCTGCACAAATATTATGTGTATTGTACACACATTTTTGAAGCTGCAGACATCATGCTTTGCTAAAGAGTCCATGTACTTTTAAGTGCATCTTTATATTCTCTGCTAATTTTGCCAGTCTGATAAACAGAGTATCTACTTTACTACCTCAATTTCCTCACCCTCTTTATTCAGTTTTATGGAACAGAATGAGCAGTACAATCTGGGAATTAGTTGGAGGGTATCTCTTGTATAGTGGCAGCAGCATGCATAGAATCCAGTAAGCAGATGCGTGACATTGCAGTTGACATGCCACTTGATTTCATTAATTTGAAGAGAGGGCTTGCAGGATGGCAGTATACCAGAATAGAAACACCTTCTGGATTCATGAAAAATTCTGATTATTGAAGCTAGTTTGTGGAAAACTGTTATGCAGCACTTGATTACTGAGCTGTCTTTGAACTGAAAAGATACACGGGAGCTTAAGAGCTTGAACAAGAAAATGATGCAAGCCTCATTAAAATAAACATCAGCCATGTAGAAGATTTTTTCCATTATCTCTCTCAAAAGAAATAGCTACAGTACAGACAAGACCAAAGAATTCTCTGTTTTAAGTGCCATTTTGAAGTATCCTAAATTACAGTGTAATTTTCTCTTTCAAATAGAAATCAACGTCTGTTAATTCACTTCTGTTGATCCTATTGTTGTGCTTCACTGTCATTAATTATAAATCTGTCAGCCTTTTCTGTGATACAACCCTTAACATCAGCAGTTTGACACATGCAATTAAACTGCTCAGTTTTATAATTTAATTTAGAAAACAAATAACAACAAATGGTGATCTGCATCACCTACCACTCTGCAGTAAAATGAGAGATCCCTGTAAAATCGAAGTGGAATATTTAGTTAGGACTGACTTATCAAGCCATTGCCACAGTACAAAATCCATAGTTCTTACTAATTTCTAGGACCATTTCCACCAAGTTCTTTGCCACAGTAGTCTCATTCATTCAAATTAACCTCATTACCTGACAGTCATTTCTAGTGCTTGTTGTTCATTGCCATATACAGCTATTACTGTTGGGTGACTAACGGAAACACTTCTGATCGTTGTACTCTTCTATGCATCAGCCCAGGCTTTTATAAACCCAGGTCTTCTGGAAACCTGTACTTGCAAAATTTGTGCATACAAACCATCACAATTAGCACCTTAAACCTGCGTGCTTTACAGATATATTGGACACAGATACAGAAAGATATGCATGCACCATATGCACCAGATGCATGCAGAAGTGTCTGTTGTGAGAACAAAACCAGAGCTGG